CTTCAGGGTGTGTAGATACTGACGCAGCTGCTTTTTCTCAAAGCGCAATCTTTCGCACAGATCATCCTCCTTCATTATGGTGTTGCGCACCTGAAACCAGTCAAGATTAAAAGGAAAACTCAGTTCAGCTTAGGATGGAGGGAGAGAGATGGAAGCAGAACGATGGAGAAAATTTGTGTCACGCACTTACTAGGAGATCCATTATGAGAGAATGTTCTCGAGAGTAGAAACTGCGTACGATGGTGCGCACTAGCTTTTTCAGGCAATCGGGCACCTCATTGGGATCAGAAGAACCCAGGGCTCGCGCTGAGCGCTTTACACCGGCACCGTTCTGAACTAACTCCCTCGAAGCCATCACAGCCATAAGTCACACGGCAGGTAACACCCACGGCTGCGGGCCTGTGAGGATAAACCGTCAGGAAAAGAGAAGACAGGGTCAAAAAAACAGTTAAGTGAGTTTTCGGAAGGAATAAAAAAAGAATCGAGACATTTGAATCTCAGATGCAGGGAAGATTAGGGAGAAGAAGACTGTTCGATGGTGAGAATAATTTCTTTATTCATCTGAACTTTCGAACTCTTACTGGAGTCCATCATCCGAGACAAAAGCGGCAACAAAACCCGCAACAAGTATACGGCGTAGGAGCTAATTAAACAGTAGCAATGCCAGTTCAGCGGCGACTGTGCGGGGTCCTGTATGCCGGCACCGGATCGATATATCGATTGACTGGATTTTCATCAGAGGCCCAGGCTTCGATAAATTCGGAACTTGGCTTGCTTCTGGCCTTGGCGATTATTTTCGTGGCTGCGACGTAAGTGCGGGCGGCCGCTTTTGATTATCCATCTCGCAGTCAGTTTATGTTCGTGTACGCGTTGTACGAGCATACGTTCAGTCTGACCTGTGTAGTTACGAGGTTAGTTTAGGGCCGGGACGCGATACACCAAACTCAAAAGTGCAAGGTAGCTTTAAGCTGGTGTGTAATGCCAACGCTTCGGCCCGCAGCAATGTGTTTAGTCGCTTCTTACATGACCTTGGTTTATGACAGCGCATGCCATACCACATGGGCTGGTTCTGGTTGGGTCTTCGGGGACAAAACACGTAGGCAGCTGCTCATGAACCCCTTCGGATAGCCGTACAATAATAATTGAAGTAAGAGGAACGAACTATCTCCTACCTTCAATAAACAGAATAAAAAGCCTTCTAGGTTGACATAGACGCGGTATTTCAAGTAGACTGATCGAGATCAGTGATCAACTTGCCGACCATGTACTGTAATGTATAAAGTTCCCTTGATCCGATCCTCTCGGGCATCCTCCGCAACTTGGACGGCACAACGAGCAATGGAAATAACAAAGGAACTGTTCTTATTCACTGTCTGCCATTTCAAGGCAAGCCGGAAAAACTAACTCTTATTTTGACAGCGACTATGACTACCAAGACTACAGGCTTTACGGACGCTGTGAAACCTGTCTTCGTTAGGCGATCAATGGAGTGCTACGGTGTGATTTAGGTTTCATTCAAACTTCGGTGTCGAACACCAAATAGGATTCAAAGACACTAACAGCCGTTGGTTAATCATGCTTTCGTCAGCGGCCTCGACGTTCTCCTCACGTACAGTGAGGTTGGCTTTAAATATAGCTAGGTCAACCAATTCAGCATTCTCGTACTACTCATTGAAGCTGTCCATTAAAACCTATAAAGGTACGGAATGAAAGGTCGGGCATGATACACCAGTTTTCTACTATAGTAATCCGTATCTAGAGCCTCTCGGATGGCAGCGAACGCAATTAGCAAAACACTGAAGATATGTGAATTTCACAGCAACCACACTGTGCAAAGCAAACATAGCAGTGAGTGAAAGCTTGACGTGGGCAACGGCTTACCTTCGGGGACAACGGATGGCGACCATTTATTAAATCAATGTCATCAACCAAGAGGAGACATAATTAATGAATTTAATCAACCCAATTCATATGGAAACTGACAAGACGCACCCATGAGCTGGCAAGAAAATTTGCCTCGTTAATTCCCGGAAACTTTGACAAAACTGCAGAACGGATTCATTTTTAAACACTACCTGCTGTTTAGTAACCGCAAGATCATCACAAGAACTGCAAATACACAGCACAGACCGGTCAAGTATCTCCTGACAATGTTCATTTAAGAAATGAAGAGTGAGTCGACTTCATGGGGGTTAAGCTGAAGGAGGATATATTTGGTGAAGTTCAGGTAATATCGGCCGCAGAAAAAGTGGAATGTTGATCTCATGACAGTTTAAATAGGTGCCCAGCCAACCATCAAATCGTACTAACTACAATCTACGAGGTCCTGAGCGATCGGTAGAGTAAGAACGTGACTCTTGAGCAAGCCAGTCACGGTGGTAGGCACTCTAGCATAGCAATAACATATGCCGCAAACACATGCATAGAGGATGCTGGTAGTAATAAAAAGGTGAGTGAACCAGGAAATGACCCGCAAACTACAAACTGCTATGGCGTTGAGTTGCTACATGACAATGATGGCGAACGAGACGGTCTGTAGTTCTCATGATAGGCGTCATACACAGCCGATATCTTTCTCTGATAACGAACTACCTAATTCCTTTCTTAAACAGGGCTAAGTAACTAAAAGACAGAGTCTGAACACTATAGTGCGACATTTGTAGCAAAATCGGCAAACGGAACGCGAATCAAAGCTACTTCATAACATTCTGCCACAACTGATAGCTCATATTTTGGTTAATGGATCTATCGTAGTCGGGTATGTTGAATGAAGATATACCATCGAAAATACTACGTAATCAGACTGCCAGACTTAGAATAAGTCGCCACTAAGCTGATAGCATTGTGGTTCTGATGAATTAATTTGAAGGAACGTACCGTTGGGTGTTCCAAATAGTTCAAAAAGCAGACGGGATAAGCACAAAGATCAATTCCACGACGAACAAAGACAATCACGTTAGACCTTGCGACTGAAAATATTTTCTTGATCACGCTAAACGACAAATGTTTTGGATTACCATATATTCGTAGTTACCTTTGATTGCAATTACGGTAAAACCATTAGCATAAGGATAAAAGCGACAATCTTTGTAAATTAGACGCACGTGGTCTTCATTCAAATGCGTTGAAACTTTCAGAATTCAGACGAGATTATCTCAAAGACCAAGCTGGGAAGATATGAGGCCCCATCAGGACAACCATTCTACCCGCGTGTGACGTCGTCAGATACAATCTGTGGATATTCGATCGATAGTGGTTGTGCTTTGAATCATTATATTCAAATAAGTATCAATAGACGGCTCTGAATTCGGTTGAGAATTTAATTCCTAACTGTCCCCTAACTATGCTTCGACTAAAAAGGCTCGATCAACCTTTGGGCCGAAGCGATAGCAGTCATTCAGAATGTCGTCTCATTTTAATTCGATACTGGTTGGTGATAGCGTCGAGAAAGCAAACGGAAGATGCGGATGAACCTAGCGAATGGCCCTGTGGTCTTTGCTTTGTGGGATCGGTATGAAAAGTAACCCAACCTCCCTACTTAGTTCGTGTCTGTACAACCACAACGGGGAGCAAAAACTATTATGCCATGAGTCTTCAGCACGAATGCAGTTGAATTAATTGCGATAAATTTCAACAGAAGTCACATTGCATATTACTAGTAAAGTTGTGACGAACCTTGTACTAGGCTTCAGAATAAATTTCGAAGCTCAAACCTCAGCAAAGGCCCACTGTACGGATGGGGACTTCCAAAGTTTTATAATAAGTCGCAATCAAATATCAAGAGACACAGAGAGGATGATGGCCTTGCACTGTGCTCCGAGTCCAAAAATGAATTCTGACTGGTTTTGGCGGAAAAGCAAGACCGTACGTACTCATGTACATGAGTAAATTATTTGAAGTGACTTAGAACTTCCCCTCAGTCGCTTAAGATGGACGCATAAAAATGAAGAAAAGAAAATTTAAAAACTAGATCAGTTATAAAGCTTAGTTGGCACTACGTGCAGGCTAAAATGTGAGGTTCACGCTAGGTCACAAAGCACGAGTACCGATCAGTGCTTGTTAGTACTAATCCAATTGGATATTAGAAGATAAAAAACCAACGTTCAATTAGTCGCATGGTATGTGGAGACCAGCAAAAAAAGAAAAAATTGCGAAATTAACTGTTTAAAAATAGGAATTCGCGATGTTCCGCGCTGCCAACTCGCAAGCCGCAATGCCCTCGAAAGGCGAATTATTATCTTGACCGCCTGAAATGCAGCTTAATAAAATACCCTTAAAAATGGCTTTAACGAAATGTTTATGGGGGAGCCCAAACAGGAAACAACGAGACTAAACAGATGCCACTTGTAATGTAACCACGTCCTAGATACAGTAGCAAAATTTCGGACAGAATCAGAGTGAACGACACAATTGTCTACTTTAAATCAATAAGTAACATAAAATTGATATGATGCGTAAAGAAATATGGGCAATTATGCTAAAAGAAAAACTGAAATGAAGAGGTTAACGAAAATATACAAACTAACGTGCTCTGCTAGCACTAGCCTCACACGGCTTGTTGTAAACCCACGTGTCTGGATGGGGCTTTTCCGGGCTTACGTCTGAGAT